TGTCTGTCTGTCTGTCTGTCTACCTTTCTACCTACCTACTTATCTACCTACCTACCTACCTACCTACCTACCTACCTACCTACCTACCTACCTACCTACCTACCTACCTACCTACCTGTATCTATCTAATGTTTTATGCTGAATCTTGAATCATCCCCAAAATGGGATACTTTTAACAGTTTGATGTTTCTCAGATCTTAATGTGCTTGTGCCAATACACTTTTTTAAATATATTCTTATCCATTTGCCTTGGTTTGTTCTTGGTTACATGTTAATGTTCATAAGGCAGTTTGTTTATATTCAGACTTATGTTAAGGTTGCATATTTTATTTTCAGGCCACTATGTCAAAAAGAGTCTTATTGCCTTCTATCCCGTCACTGGAATCAACAGTTAGTAGAAGTAATCAGAGTTCAAGTGAAGAGTCTTCTAATGGGAAAAATTCTCCTTCAGTAAATGAATTAAGAAATAGACTGACCAGCGTGGCTCCAAAACAGATGTCACCAAATCCTGAAGCTCTGAAATTTGAACATAATACAAAATCTCAAGAAAGAACTAGAAAGCGGCAACAGCCTATAAAGCTAGAACCTTTAGTAGGTTGATTTTGATTTTAAAACTATATTTTTAATTTGAAAAAGGTAGTGGGTTTTTTTCAGATATGTTTAGTCTTATGAAAAACTGGTGCATAAATACCATTACATTTAGTATTTATATATAGAAAACTGAAGTTAATTTTTTGTTCATTATCAATTAATTTTGAAATATGGAATTTACAAATTTATAAAACAATTTAATATTAGATTACTTCTTGTCAGAAAAAAGGCTGAGGAAATACAGTTCTTCTGTATGAGTAAACATACGAACATTGCAGAGATCAATCATGTCAAATTAATTATAATTTCATGATCTAAAAATTTCATGGATCTCTTAGTAGAAAAAAATAAAAGTTCTAAACTTGCAATCTACAATAGTTATGTTAAGAAAGATTAATCAATGCATTCTGTATCTATGGAATTTTGACCCTTATAAATAATTCTCCCAATTAGATTAAAAAAAATCAGCCTAGTACAATTTGATTAGCTGAGGTTTCCAGGATTTATCCCCAGCCCAAAGGGCAGACTATATATTTCCTAATACATATTAAAATCAAGAAATTAAAGACTTCTCATCACTATTATTAAGACAAGATGGTTGGATAACTTTAGAAAATGCTATGTCACTAACAATGTGAATCTTTGCTTTAAGGGAATGTGCAACCCATGTAAAACAAAAGCATGGTTCTTCAACCTATCTCCTGCCTAGCGGTACATGCTGTCTTCCCTATCCACAGTTAAAAACTATGACGGAGTCTGTACTTAGTTAATTTAATTTTATTGTCTATTAAATTGTATTTTATTGTCTATTAACTTGATAGAAAAAAACATTTCTATCGATGAGTTATTCATTTTTTAAAACTTACTTCATCCTTAATTTAGCCCTCCTTAAAAACATATCAGCACCAAAAACAACCTGAGTATATATACCAGAAGAACAGAGAAAAATTGTTAGCAGCTGGAGTATTAAAGCCTACAACTTCAGCAGAGAAAAGAAAATGGCCTGGTACGATGGAGGCAATTTCATCTGAACTTCAGGAAGAACTGAAAGAAAGACAGGTAATGTTTCTCCTTACAGACTGTGAATGCATACACTTTTATTTAAATATTTTAATCTTTCCTTCAAATAAAATACAGGTAATACTCGACTTATGACCACAATCAAGCCCAAAATTTCTGTTGCTAAACAAGACATTTGTTAAATGAATTTTGCCCCATTTTACGACCATTTTTACACATTTGTTAAGTGAATCATGGCAGTTGTTAAGTTAGTAACCACGGTTATTAAGTGAATCTGGCTTCCCCATTGAGTTTGCTTGTCAGGACATTACATGTGACTCCAGGTCACTGCAATCATCATAAATGAGTCAGTTGCCAAGTGTTTGAATTTTGATCACATGACCATGGGGACTCTATAATGCAGTGGTCTCCAACCTTGACAACTTTAAGACTTGTGGACTTCAGCTCCCAGAGTTCCTCAGCCAGCTTTGCTGGGAGTTGAAGTCCACAAATCTTAAAGTTGCCAAGGTTGGAGACCACTGCTGTAATGGACATACGTGTGAAAAATGTCAAAAGTCATTTTTTTTCAATACCGTTGTAGCATCAAATTAAATGAACTGTTGTAAGTTAAGGACTACCTGTATGTTTCAAGGCACTTACAATGTATTACTCCAAATAAAATAAAACAAAACAAAATAAAAATGATTTTAAGGTGTCCCTTGCATGTTGAAGTTAATGAAATAGCTGTATTGAAACATGCATGGTTCCCCTTTTTGGCATGCTTTAAAAACATGATCAGATACCCTAAAATCAGGTCACTTTCCAATTACTTAAATTTGAAACAATACATAAAAAGAGATTTCATTCCCCTATTAATGTTAGAAAGTGTATGTCGCCGGTTGTAATTCTTTATTATTTGAAACTGCTTTTAAACTTGCTGTAAATGGTTCTCATCTGGTGAAGGAGGTTCACTCTATGACCAATGCAGTCCTCTTTTTTCCTTATTGTTCTCATAATTATACCATTGTTCTATAGTAGGGGTGTCAAACTTGATTTCATTGAGGGCCGCATCAGGGATATATTTGATCTTGTGATGGAGTGGGTATGGCCAACTAAACGTCGCTCATGTTGGGGCACCTCTCAGAAAACAGGCTCCCGAGCTTGGTTTTTGGCTGCAACGGCCTCCTGCAACTCTCTGCCAGCAAAAATGGAGCTCCATTTTCGCTGGCAGAGGCACCTTGGGCCCCTCCTTTGCTGTTTCCAAGGTGGCTTCATGGCCCAGAACTAAGCATCCCACGGGCTGGATCTAACCGCCCTGGCCTTGAGTTTGACATCCCTGTTCTATAGTATTAATCTAAAATGGCAATCCAGTTTTATTGTTCTGTTGCTTTTTAACTTCTATATAAAATTATAGTTAACATTTTTAGAAGAAGTGCTGAATGAAGTTTTTGAAGTTTAAATACAAAAAATAAAGAGAACAATACTGCCTGTTGCACTTCTGCTATGGGAGCTGCACTAACTACTGGTTTGGTTCTCTGTGTAATTCAAGGTACTTGTCACTACCTACAAAACCAGGCAAGCTTCATGGCCCTAATATCTTACGGACCACCTTTCTTCAATAGTTTCCACTCATTCTACCCAAACAATTAAGCAGTACTTGCTAATTGTCCTCATCTATCAGGAAGTATGGCAGGAGGGGGCTCTGCACTAGGCATACTCTTCAAATGTTGCAAGAAAGTACAATTATTTGAAAATTCAAATAACTTTCTAACCACATTTGTCTGAAATAAAAGAAATACATAGCATCTCATGAGGCATTTAGAATAAATAAAGGAACATTATTATTTATTGTTAATATAGAAGTTTTGTATCTGTATTCTCAATACTATAAAAATAATCATCCAGAGTGAAACCAGTTTCAAGCAGTGCATTCTCTATATAGCAGAAATTTTCTTCCTCTGGAAGAGCTTGCCTGCTGAGGCAAAAATGGCCCCCACCCTCAGAGCCTTCTGGAGCTGGATGAAAACATGACTTTTCCAGAAGGCATTCAGGTTTTAATTGTACAAGCAGTGCCATATTCAATTAATTCAATGTATTATTTACTGTTTAGCATGGATTAAACTGAAGCGTAATTGGGTTACCATTTTAATTACTATAGCAACTTGCATTGCATTTATTCTGTAAGCAATTTAGAGACGTCTGGTTTCAGGTGGTAAACAAATGTTATCAGTGAAAAAGCATTAAATAAATAAACCCCTGAGAATTCTCATAGAGGATGCTATTCTGTCATGAGCACTGAAGTAATGTGCAGGTGTTGGGACAGTTGAATTGTGCATGTAGAGTGTGGAGGAAGCTTTGCTTTAAGAATAAAAGTAGATTTATCTGGCCCGCTTACTTGATTGCAACAAAGAGCTCAAAAACACTGCAGCTTTCAGATGATAAAATTTCTCATTAAATCTGAAATGGATACCTGAATATGGTTTCTTCAAAACACTTTCAATCCAGGCTTTCTTGAATGAAACATAATTTAGTTTCCACACTACAGAAGAAAGTAGAACTTCTTGTTAATTTAACTTAGGAAGGGAAAGGTTCCAAACTTTTATAACCCATTCTGGAGGAAGAGAGTGTTTCTTGCTAGACCAGTGCTCCTAGCTACACTAGTATACAATACATAGTGATCAACCTTGATTTCAATTGTGTGTAAAAAAATATAAGGGAAGCAGTTATAAATATTATTGTTGTGCAGTAAATTTGTGATTTTATACCTAGGAATCTACAAGAAAATGCTGTTTTTTTTAAAAAACCAGGAAATCAATAGAAACTTTTTAAAAAAATGTTGAGTTATATATAAGTTCCTTTCCTTTATTATCGCAGATGCTGAGTGCTATGGTACGAGTTCCAACTCCTCCTAAGCAACCACGTAGTGTATTAAAGACAAGTGCTTGCAAACCGAGTTCAGCGCCACCTTTACGTACATTTAGTGAACCGGAAGAAGTAATTAAAGCTAATATTACAGAGCCTCTACAGATTATAAGAATAATATGTGAAAACAAAAACCTTGGATTTCTGTACATGACTCCTGCAGTGCCTAAATCATCAATTGAGTATGACACATATAACCTGAAGTGAGTTACCTTTAAATGTTGAAGCAATTGTATGTAAAAAAGCAATAATTTTATGCTTAACATGAATTCCAGATTTACCAATTCTTATACCAATCTCTGTTCTACTCATGGTTAATATATTTACTGAAAGAAATAACTGAATATATCTAACTTCTATGTTTTTCTTATAGATATATGTTTTAACAAAAATATGGTGCTAAAATTTAAAAGCTTGTGTCTTTTTCCTTAGAAAGGGGAAACTGAAATGAAATTATCAACTAAGGAACACTTAAATTTTGATTTAAAAAGGCAATTATATAATGCATACATCTCAAAAGATGTAGACTCTATAATTAGGGTGTGTCAAAATTTTCAACTTTCAATTTCCAAACATTAGGATTGCTCAAAGGTTTTGATGTGCCTTGGGGATTGTAAAGATATTTTGGTTACTTTAATATAGTACATAAATATTATAACGGTTTTAACATTTTGTTTGTTGGTTAATGTATATAGGATTTTTTTCAAACAGTGGCTGTATCATAGAAAGACAGTATTATTATATGCCAAATATATTTTTTGCCATATAGTTTTGTCGGGTAATTTATATAACTACCAGCATACACTAATAATTATTGTATCTCAGTATTCAGGCAGCTTAAATACCCTCGTGCAATTAACAGTCTATTGCTAAAAGAGATGGGGAAAAAATGTCTCTCATTTTCATTAGAACTATGCAGAGACCACATCATATGCTTTGAAAGCACGAATTGGAATATCCACTCACTGCAGACCATGACACAATACTCAGATTTAGAGCAAATTTTGTTAAAATCAAAATATATTGTATCCTAATCTATCAAAGAAAGAACACAAATTGCTGTCGTATTATTGTTTTTAGCAAATTGGAACAACAATTTGATGCAGGATAGAGCTTTATGCAAATAGGAAGCTAAATTGTACAAAAATTGAGCAAGGACATTTGAGTACTAATGCATTTAGAAACCCTGATTTATGCCTTTCGTGTGAACAACTAAAGTTTGGGCAGCTGGGAAATATGTATGCATTAGTACTATTATTTGCATTGAAGGTGGAACCGGTGCCATTCTGAATCACTCCACTCTGTCCTGTATCAATAAAGATTTGCTTCATCTCATTGTAGCTTGTTGTGGATTTTATATAAATGTGATGGGATGAGGCTGCATCTAATAATTAAAACAAAACAATGCAATGTGTTCAGTTATCCAGGATATGCCAGAAATGGTCCTGCCATGATCAAAAAAGTTATGTTAATTGCCACCATCCCTCCTTGAAAATTAATAGATTGGTAGCAAAACCCATGATACCGAATGACATAAAAATAACAGGTAGGTTCTGTTCCCTACAGGTACAGGCTAGGCTTATATAGATAATCCATCATTTATTCAATTTATTCAAGGTTATTGAAGCTTATTCAAGTCTTGGCAAATAATTTAATCTATTAAATTATGTTTTTTAATTTATTTTTAGAATTGTAAGCTTTGACTGCATTAACAAAAATGACTACTACACTATTAGTCCACAAGCAGTTATTCATACATATAATGGAGAAGTTGAATACCTGGAACTTGAACGCTGGGAGCAAGAATACGTCTATCATAGGGCACTTGTCAAAATCACTATATTTGCTATATTTCGCAAATGGAAATCGTTTAATGTATGGAGAAAAAATGTCCGCTGCAAAACGATCAGTTCATGTCGCCGAGCTTTACAGAAGAACTTATTTATTGTTAATGGCGTATGTATTGTGTTTTTATTACTGAAATAATATATGTGAAGGATGTTAGATACTATCTAAAACAGGCCTGTCAAACTCACATCGTTACAGCATCATCACATGATGTATCAGGACTTTTTTTCCCCTTGCTAAACCGGGCATGGGTGTGGCCAGCGCGTGATGCTTCTGGCTCATGGCCCGTGAGTTTGATAGCCCTGATCTAAAACATTGTATTGTTTTGAAGAGGTCATTCTTAAATATCAAGATAATTTATAGTGTACTATAGGTATCCTTGTGTGAAATATATTCATATTAACATAGCTGTAGTTCCACAGTTCTAAATTATTGCTGCTAGAGTTTAGTTAGTATGGAACGTCAGTAAAACTCATAATCTAAAAGATTCACAGACAATATTTTTAATATATGGGAACTCAGAGGCACCAATATCTAGGAGCCATTTTCCAGGAGCCAACCATGCACATTTATATTTCAGTTTTGACAACTTATGTGTAAACATGCCAAGACTTCTTTATTCCATCAAGATATGGAGAAAAATCTGGGAGACACAGAGAAAGTAGTAAAAACAGATGATTTCTGTGATTTCCAATTTGTCTCATAAATAGGAAAGCCAATTAATTTGCTTTTGTTGTATTATTCAGAAAATGTACACAATACTTTCTAATAGTTCTTTCTGTCTTATTGATTTGTTCTGTTTTGCAGTGTTTGAGACCAGCAATTCTAAACATCCAAGAAATGTGTTATCGAATTAGCGACATGGTACTTTGTAAAATTGAAAAGGGCTATATATATACATTGATAGAGTTTAAAGGTACTCAGTTCAGTCAGCTAAAAGATGTGAGTTTCATGTTTCAGTTGTTAAGAGTTCATATAAATAATTTAACTGAAACGTAATTATTATTCACCTGTAATTGCATTAAACTTTTAGGTGGCATCTCGTTTATCAGAATTCAGAGAATTAGCCAAAGAAGTGGTTAGAAGTGCATGTCGAACTGCATTGCTTGAAACTGGTTTCACGCCTGATGATTATTTTTATAATATTGAGAATACAGGTATAAAACGGCAGTATTAACAATAAATAATGTTTATATATTTATTCTAAATGCCTTCTGAGAGTGTTTGTTTATTTCTTTTATCTCAGAGAGATGAGGTTAGAAAGTTCTTTGAATTTTCAAATAATTGTACTTTCTTGCAACATTTGAACTTTGGGAATTTCCATTTTTAGTAGTTAAGGTATCTAGCTAAAAACTAGGAAGTTGTGAATTCTAGTTCCATCTTGGGCACAAAACGAGCTGAGTGACTTTGGGCTAGACACTTTTGCTGAGCCCTTGACAATGGGAAACCACTTCTGAAAAACCTTGCCAAAAAAACTCAAGAGAAGTGGATCTAATTTAATAGAAAAAAAATAAATAAAAGTGGGACAGAATCAAGATGTGATCTTATGTACTATGAGAAGAAAGACGGGGGGGAGGGGGGATGTTATCTACCATTGCAATCTCAATATGCAACAGTGTGTACAGCCTGACCCAATCCATACTTTGTTATGTATCAGTCCCAAATATTTGTGTGGCCCCTGTAAAATTTGACAGGGTCCAGTATAACACTCCCACTCTTAAGTCAAATAGGACTTTTTATGGATATATCATTTCTTTAACTGAAAATCTACTGTTTAGCTTTGTGCCTGGAATAATTACAGCAATTTCTACCTGTATTTTTCCTCAGAACAGATAACAATGGCAACAAGAAAAGAAGTTGTAGGAACCACCGTTTCTCGTGTTGAGAAAGACTTCTATGGCGAACAACCTGAAAGAATGACATACACAGAACAGGCCAATAAAAGGGCTCAGTGTGGAAGGCTAACATGGTTAGTAATAGTGTATATATGGGTGGTTTTGTCATAATATCTTTCTCGCAATTTAGAACTGATAAATGTAAAATAGCAAAAGTGCTTCTTGCAAAAAGTGTTTATAATTTAGGCTAGTTTCACCTATTTTGTGAAAACAGAAACAAACATCTGATTATGGGTTAACATGCTATGTGACCTGAGTCACAGGCATCAAATCATAGGCCTTAAATCCTATTTTGTAAATGTAAATATTTCTTTCAGCAGTCCTTCCATTAGAAACCAAACTAATCCTTAATAATAATAATGGTGAAAATATAAATGTGAAATAGCGACATCGGACATAGCAGCAGGCAGCTTTTGCCTCTAGCACCGGGGCGGCATGGTGGCTTTTGCCCGCTTCTTGAAAGTGGGCAAAAGCCGCCCTGCTGCCCCGGCGCTAGAGGCAAAAGCCGCCCTGCCGCTATGTCCGACATAGAGGCGTCCCGCCTCTATGTCGGACATAGCACTGAGGCGTCCACAAGCCCTGCCACTCTGTCCAAAAGCCCTGCCGTTATGTCCAAAAGCCCTGCCTCTATGTCCAAAAGCCCTGCTGCTATGTCCGACATAAAAAAAGTGCTAGCCTGCTCGCCAGCAGAGGCAGGTAAAACACACACACACACACAAATTATTTACAATAATACAATAACTTACAAATTACATTAATTTTGAATTCCTCCCCCTCTCTCTGACCCACATACCTTTTCCAGCTGTTTCACAGAGGATTTCAACTCTGCTCTTGTCTGCCATGATGAAATTGAAAAATGTAAAAGGAAAAAGGCAAGAGCTGCTGAGGTCAGGCTGGGTTGGCTGCTGCCAGTCTCCAATGGATGACTCTGCTTAACTGTTTAAAAAAGCCTCTAAAAAAACGCCCTCTACAGGAGGAGGCAAGAGAACCAAGTGCCTCATCTACATAAGGAATTTTTCGGCTTTTAACCCTTGCTTAACTCTGCTCAAGTGATCATAAAGATAGACTAAATGAGGCACGTGGTTCTCCCGCCTCCTCCTGTAGAGGGCACTTTTTAGAGGCTTTTTTAAACAGTTAAGCACTAAGCAGAGTCATCCACTATGACTCTGGCAGCAACTACCTCAGCCTTTTTCCTTTTACTTTTTTTTTTCTTTTCATGATGACAGTGGTGAGGCCCTGCCTCCCATGACTGCACGTCACTGGCATATCATATCTGGGTGTTATCTATGTTTCTTGGCAATATGAAATGGTAATCAATATATTGTCCAGTATGAAATAGAAATCAATAACTTGGGAACATTTTTAATGACAGTTAAAGCAATGTTAAGTTATTGTTTTGACTTAGGCAATGTTATTATTGCTTCCTATCCTTGGCCCTTTGTTTGAATTTTGTTGCTGCTTTCTTTTTGTTGAAATTATATAGTGTAATGTTGTTTTACTGAATAGGTGGTACCTGGCTCAATAGTAGTAACTGCAAGAGGAATCTTAGAGTCCTAGTGGACAATCACTTAAATATGAGCCCGGAGTGTGCTGCAGCTGCCAAAAAAACCCAATGCAGTCCTAGGCTAATTTAGCAGAGGGACAGAATCATGATTATATTACAGTAACCGTTAGTATTGCTTTATAGTGCTTTGGTAAGACCACATTTGGAATATTGCATCTAGTTTTGGTCACCACGGTGTAAAAAAGATGTTGAGACCCTGAAAAGTAGAATGACTTGTTTCCAAAACACTGGAGATTTTTAAGATGAGATTGGAGAATGATTTGTCTGAAATGGTAGTGTTTCCTTTTTGAGCAGGAGGTTGGATTGGAAGACCTCCAAGGTCCCTTCCAATTCTTATTGTATTATTTTCAAAGCCATTTTATTTTTTTTTCTTTGAAAGGCAAAATAAATAGGATAACAATTTCTTACATAAGTAATAAATTTTGATCATAAAGAATTTTTTATTTATGTATCACACTGAAACATTAAGCATATAGATATGAATGGATTTATTAATTGCTGGAGCTGAAAGGGCAACGTCTTGTGTGCCCTCATAAATGGCTCCGCATGCCACTTGTGGCATGCATGCCATTGGTGTGCCATCACGGTTATAGGCTATATAAACAATTATAGGCTGTAATTGTAGAATTTTGCAAGCTGGATTGTGTTTTACTTCTCTTCCTCCTTATAGCCCAGTAAATCAGGTAAGTGCATGACTGTGTCTCTTCTGAATGCTATCTTGTATTATAACAGTATCAATATCACTTAGGCATATACTGCTTCATTGTGCTTCAAAGCTCTCTCTAAGCCAGAGGTATCCAACCTGTGGGCTAGGCCCACTACCGGGCTATGGCTTATTTGCAACTGGACCACATGAATGGTGGGCTGGGTGCATGTGCAGCTGAACTCATGTGAGCAATGGGCATCGGCTCTTGCAGCCCCACTTGAGTGAGCAGTGGGCAAACTCACACAAAGGAAACTATGTACACAAGCACCTGCATTTCACACAAAACCATCCCCTCTTCTCCCACTCCCCTCCCTGTGCCTGCCTGCCATTAAAGTCCGTGAGATTGTCTGTGCTAAGACAGCAGTTTGTTTTGCATTGTTGATCTGTTTGTTTCTTCCCAGCTTTATTCGTCTTGCTGATTATCTTATAGTAAATACTATGCATGTCTTGGCCGTTAAATCTGTTGCTACTCTCTTGCGTTACCTTGCTGATAAGTTGAAGAAGACACCACTTGCAGAAATTATCCAAACATGGAATACAGATTTAGTAGCACCTGAAGTTGTGGAAAAGAAGGTAATATTCATCATAGTGAGATGTTCAAACTGTTTAGAATGACTTGACCAAAGTTTCAGAAAATGTAACTGTTTAAAGCAGAATCATTGCTTTCTATTGATCAATATCAATCATCTTGTTTTGATCTAATATATTGTTCCTTACTTCATATCCTGTGAAAATGTGTTTCTTGAATCCATTTGATCAATGGAAATTAATGAAACTTACCTTTACAGTACATTTTATAATTGGAAAATACTTCAAAGAGTTCTGTGTAAAGGCTTATAACATAAGAAATGATATGTTAGTGCTGAATAATATCCAGAAAAAGTCTCTACAATCCTAATGAATAAATAATATTCATTTTGAAAAGTTGGATAGATCTTATTAAAAATACCAATTTTAAACAAAAATGTGATTATTTTAAGAAATGAGTATCAAAATTAAGGATTCCAGTAAAAGGATGCATTTTAAAAAGAATGAATAAAATATATCACAGAAGAGAAAGGAACAAAAACAGCTGAAGTTTCATCATCATCAAAACAAAGAAGCAACATGATCAAATAAAAGAAAGAGACTCACCAACATTCCTAAACATTCCAAAACATGCAGTTGCACTGGGCCTGTGAACATTGTCTGGCTATTCTAACTGAACCATTTCTTGGAAAGTATTTACGTTCTAACAAACAGGGAACTTTCTAGAGTAGAGAAGTTTAGAGCTTGAGTTCATTGTCTCATTTTTTAAAAAGTCAATTCAATCTTTCTTTTTTTACTCTAGGGAACTCCTTCAGTCACTACAGAGGAAGAGGAAGCATCCATTCCAATGTTTCTTGTTGAGCTAATTTTAGAGATCCACGCATTGCTGTTTGAACCAACTGCGGAAGAGTTCCAGGTTAAAGTTCATTTAGTTTTGAAAAGATTTCCATTTTTTTAAAATGTAATCATGGGGCATAGAGTACTTGAAAAATTATCTTTATAGTTATGAGTCAGATGTAGTTCTCGATTGGCATAGATTTAGGCTGGAAGGTGCCTCTGGAAATAATTTTTGATCAACTGAATAATAACTTAGCTTTGAGTCTGACCAGAGTATTTGAGAAGAATAGTCATCCTTAAACAATACAAAATATGAACAAGAACAACCTGTTATTTCTTAATCAGTTGAACTGCTATTAGTGTATGGACAACAGGAATGAAACCAGCAGTGTTAATTGCTAGTTTACCACCAGTAGTTAGTTTGTTAGTTAACTGCTGTGTAAAAAGCTACTATTTGAAGGCATTTTGGCAATGACAAAGATTGAGTGAAAATTAGGAAGGAAAGAAAAGTACGTACCCAGCAACAGAAAAAACTCCAAGTTTGTAATCCAGGGGTGATTGTTTTTAAAATAAAAACTTCTAGGTAGCTTTGCCACTTGTCCACTGACACAGACTAGCCAGGGCATTTAATTAGCTATTTATTAACATCACTATCATATACTATGCAAAGGTGACTCTACTTTTGATATTTCTATCTTTCTTTCTGTGGCTTTAGTATTACGTATGAACTTTGGAGATTTATTTCAATTTTAGGTGGCATTCAGTTTTTATGCATTATTGAAGTTACTGTAATAATGTAACACAAAATTAATACACAGCAGACCTCATATTCTTTTTTAAGAAGTGAAAACTTTTGAAATAGAACACTCTAGAGATGGCGTTCAAAGTGTTCGGTTTGTGGGTCTTTATGAGAAATTTTTACGATTGTTGTAAAGGATTCTACCATATTTATGTGAAGAGTTCTGAAAATGCTATACAAACATTCATAACAAACATTTCAAGTGATTTTCTTCTATTTGGTCAAACAGGATGCTATGGCAGATATTGTGTCTCAGTTTCAGGCAACTGTGTTATCTGTTGCAAACCTTGTTCCAGATCAGTATTTTGATGCCTTCACTCGTCCTGTTATTAACAACAAACTTGAAGAAAAAACATGTGGTGAAGGACCAAGCTTATCAACAATGTTTAAAGATGATAAGCATCTTCAAACTATTATCCTACAAATAAAGGTACATGACACCCTTTTTTATAAATTTATTTACATTTACATTTAAATATTTCATATTGCAGAGGTACTTAAGTAAGTTTCAAAACTGAACGATTAACAGAATAACAGAGTTGGAAGGGACCTTGGAGGTCTTTTAGTCCAATCCCTTGCACAAGCAGGAGACCTATACCATTCTGGCTGTTCAATCTCATCTTAAAAACCTCCAGTGATGGAGCACTCACAATTTCATTTTCATATATATATATATATATATATATATATATATA